TTTTGATACACTTTGACTTCCTACCATGTATTATTTTTTAATTAGAAAAAAAATTTCAAATAGTAGTTCCAGACAAAGAAAATTAAAACAAAAAACAAAAAACAGAAAAACACAAATAGTCTTTGGTGTCCAGAGCAAATATAATACTCAAGGTAAGGAAATGTAAAATAATTAAGCAAACTCACTGAACATTATCAAAAAACAAATTATTTTACAGATGACACTTTATAATCAGCACCATACCCTAATTATTAAAATCTTCTGGATATGTTAATATTCTATTTAATACTCTGGTTTATTACTGGTTAGATTTGTGACTATCTTTTTTCTTTTTTCTTTTTATTTATTTATGTTTTTATGTATTTTTTTAAGATTTTATTTATCTATTTGACAGAAAGAGAACACAAGTGGGGGGCGGCAGGCAGAGGGAGAGAAAGAAGCAGGCTCCTTGCTGAGCAGGGAGCCCGATGTGGGGCTCGATTCTAGGACCTTGGGATCATGACCTGAGCCGAAGGCAGATGCTTAACCGACCAAGCCACCAGGTGCCCCCTGTATTTATGTATTTTTATTTTATTTATTTATTTATTTATTTATTTATTTATTTATTTATTTATTTATTTTAAGATTTTATTTATTTATTTGAGAGAGAGAGAATGAGAGAGAGCACATGAGAGAGGGGAGGGTCAGAGGGAGAAGCAGACTCCCTGCCGAGCAGGAAGCCCGATGCAGGACCCAATCCAGGGACTCCAGGATCATGACCTGAGCTGAAGGCAGTCGCTTAACCAACTGAGCCACCCAGGTGCCCTATTATTATTATTTTTTAAGATTTTATTTATTTATTTGACAGAGAGAGACACAGCGAGAGAGGGAACACAAGCAGCAGGAGTGGGAGAGGGAGAAGCAGGCCCCCCGCAGAGAAGAGAGGCCGATGCGGGCCTCAATCCCAGGACCCTGGGATCATGACCTGAGCCGAAGGCAGACGCTTAACGACTGAGCCACCCAGGCACCCCATTTATGTATTTTTAAAGATTTATTTGTTTGAGAGAGAGAAAGAGCTTGTGTGAGTGGGGGGAGGGGTGGAGGGAGAGGGAAAGAGAGGGAAAGAGAGAATCTCAAGCAGACTCCCCGTTGAGCACGGAACCCGTGGCTTTTGAGATAGATGCCTTTATTATTATTTGCAAAAGCAGTGGTATTTTCTAAACCTGCAATTTCTGAGTGATAGCTTCAAATAGAGACTTTATCAATTGTCTTGCTGACTTGGCTTGGCCAGAGCTCTGCCCTGCAAGTTCTGCTTCACGTCAGCTCCTCTCACTCAGCCATCCCCACACTTGATGTGATCAGAGTTTCAGTACTACTGTTGACTGATGAGATGGGTAATTTGTATACTTCGACTTTTTTTTTCCACCTTCTGCAAAAAAACTGGTCTCCATTATATTTCATCTGTAACATTAGTTAAAACCTTCTTATCCACATCCCCGAAAGGGTTTTACTGTTGGGCCAATTTAATCTCCCATTGTGCGGTCTACAATAGCATTTACACCATTGTATTGCAAATTATCTCTTTAGGAAATCAGGAGATTATGAATTCCATAAGGCCTGGGACTTTAGACAGGATTTAGCATAAATCTGACACATATTAGGTCCGTCAGTAAATGCAGAACTTATTTGAATAAATAAATTAATGGAACTAGGCATACTTTTTAAGCAGCAGAGAAAACATCAGGAGAAATTTTCAGAGGAATTTAAGATATGAAATGAATTTCCTCAACTAAAAGTGAAAACCCAATTTGAGAATGGGCAAAAGGCTCTAAACAGAGATTTCTCTGAAGAAGATATACAAATGACCAATAAAAATATGAAATGATGTTCAATTTCATTAACCATTAGGGAAATACAATGAGGGGGTGCCTGGGGGAATCAGTCGTTAAGCGTCTGCCTTCAGCTCAGGTCATGATCCCAGGGTCCAGAATCGAGCCCCACATCGGGCTCCCTGCTCAGTGGGAAGCCTGCTTCTCCCTCTCCCACTCCCCCTGCTTGTGTTCCCTCTCTCACTGTGTCTCTCTCTCTGTCAAATAAATAAATAAAATTAAAAAAACAAAACAAAACACAATGAGGTACCACTTCACACTCAGTAAGGTGGCTAAGATAAAAAAGATAGATAAAAGTATTAGAAAGGGGGGCGCTTGGTTGGGCATCTGCCTTTGGCTCAGGTCATAATCCTGGGGTCCTGGGATTGAGCTCCTCATCCCTCCCTGCTCAGCGGGGAGCCTGCTTCTCCCTCTCCCACTCCTCCTGCTTGTACATGCATGTGTGCACTCTCTTTCTCTGTCAAATAAATAAATAAAATCTTTAAAAAAAAGTATCAGAAAGGATGTGGAAAATTGGAACGCTGAGATATTGCTGCTAAGAATGTAATATGGTGCAGTTACTTTGGAAAACAGTTTGACAGTTCTTCAAAAGTAAGCATTGATTTACCATATGATCCAGTAATTCCAATCCTAGGTATATACCCAAGAGAAATGAAAAAACATCTACACAAATATTCATATCAGCATTATTCATTATAACCATAAAGAGGAAATAACTCAAATGTCCATTAACTGATAAATGGGTAAATAAATGTGGTATATCCATGCAGTGTAATATTATTCACCCATAAAAAGTAATGGAGTAGTGATACATGGTACAACATGGATGAACCTTGAAATCCGTATGTTGAGTAAAAGAAGCTGGTCACCGAAGACCACATATTGTATGATTCCATTTATGTGAAATGTCCAGAATAGGCACATCTAGAGACAGAAAGTAGACCAGTGGTTGTGGGGGTGCGGGGTGGGGTATGGGGGTGGGTAGAGGAAGAGGGGAATTGGGAATAAATGCGGGGTGACAAGTACTGGGTAAGGAGTTTCCTGCTGGGATGATGTAGACATGCCAAAATTGATCACGGTGATGGTTGCACAACTCTATGGATACACTAAAAACTACTGAATTGTCCACTTTGAACAGAGAATTGTATTGTGAATTATATCTCAATAAAGCTGTTTTTTTAAAAAAGGAACTGAAAGGCATTTTGCCAGTAACAATTACATTGCTAATCCTCAAATTTTCACTTCTTTTTCAGGATACCTTTCTTTTTTAAAGATTTTTATTTATTTGACAGAGAGAGACACAGCGAGAGAGGGAACACAAGCAGGGGGAGTGGGAGAGGGAGAAGCAGGCTCCCCGCAGAGCAGGGAGCCCGATGCGGGACTCGATCCCAGGACCCTGGGATCACGACCCGAGCTGAAGGCAGTCGCTTAACCAACTGAGCCACCCAGGCGCCCCAGGATACCTTTTAAGAACAAAACTATACACAAGAAATGCAGCAGATTCTTAAAGGAAAAAATATCTTAGTCCTTATACTAACCCTAGAAGCAGGACAAAATCCATAGGATGAGGGCGCCTGGGTGGCTTCAGTTGGTTAAGCGACTGCCTTCGGCTCAGGTCATGATCCTGGAGTCCCGGGATCGAGTCCCGCATCGGGCTCCCTGCTCGGCAGGGAGTCTGCTTCTCCCTCTGACCCTCCCCCCTCTCATGTGTTCTCTCTCAAGTAAATAAATATAAAAAAATAAATAAATAAATAAAATCCATATGATGAAATTGGATCACTTCCTTCTCATGGGCCTTGACCTAATATTGTCAGTGTATTTATAAATAATGTGGTCTGTTGAAAACAATGCTTGAAATCTTAAGCTGTTTCAGGATATAGAAAGGGGGGAAAAAAATCCCTGAACCTATAAATTTTAGGCCTTAAAGTAAATACTAGAATTTGTAAGCTTTGCTTAGATTAACAGTGGCCTCACTCCTCCCTTCAAAACTCTTCTACAAGCAAGTAGTGTATTAAGCAAGAGACAGAGGTGTGATAAGAGAAGAATTTCTTATAAGAACAGTGTGTCTGGGGCGCCTGGGTGGCTCAGATGGTTAAGCGTCTGCCTTCGGCTCAGGTCATGATCTCAGGGTCCTGGGATCGAGTCCCGCATCGGGCTTCCTGCTCCTTGGGAGCCTGCTTCTCCCTCTGCCTCTCTCTCTCTGTCTCTCTGTCTCTCATGAATAAATAAATAAAATCTTAAAAAAAAAAGAAAAAAAAAAAAAAGAACAGTGTGTCTGCACCCCTGCTGAGATACCATCTATTTGGTCACAGGTTTGTTTTAATTTTTCTCAGACAGTCGCCAACCAGTAACACTATCTATCATTCAATCTCCTGCAACAATTACAGCAACCGAGATGATGAAACTGATGACCAACGGTACAAGTCCATTACAGTACCAAAGCTGGCCTCTACATCACCGAGGATTTCAGTACAAGGGCTAGAGAAAGAAAAATTAATGAGGTCAGAATGGAAAACAAATGACAAGAGCACAGGGAGTGAAGTCACTAGCTCACTAGGACATACTTAGAAAATCAGCTGAAGTCTGCGAGCATTTTTGCAAATAACATTACAGCAGAAATAGGAAGGTGTTTGCCTTCTAGAACAGTTCCAGGAGGACGGCTTTATACGACTTGTTTTAACAATCAGTAAAGTGACATTTACTTAACTTGTACACCTTACGAAGCACTTTCACATCTATTTTCGCATTTGAGCCTCCCTCCCATGAGGTGGCTAGAGCAGGTAACACTTGTCTCGTCATTACCCGACCTGTATTGAATTCTTGTATCTCAGGCAAAAAGGGATGTTTTGACCCAACCTCTTTAATTCAATGAATACTTTGGGTCACAGGGAAAAATAAAGTTTCACGGAATATAATAGCTAGAAAGAAAGCTCACCATAGCAGTAGTTAAAATGGACAGAATTTGACCAGGATAAAAACCTAATGACTGAAATGAATCTCACTGTAAAATGTACATGGAAAAAGTTGATCCTGCGCATAATCATTTCAGTAAAAGAAAAATGAGAATAGAAAAAAGTTGGAAATAGTTTCACTGTTACTGCATAAAAATTTGATCACGAATTAAATAGATTAGTGCTCACTTCGGCAGCGCATATACTAAAATTGGAATGACACACAGAAGATTAGCATGGTCCCTGCACAAGGATGACATGCAAATTCGTGAAGCGTTCCATATTTTTTTTTAACTATAGGAAACAAACTGAGGGTTGCTGGAGGGGAGGTGGCTGGGGCGATGGGGTAACTGGGTGATGGGCATTAAGGAGGGCACTTGATGGAATGAACACTGGGTGCTATATGCAACTGATGAATCACTAAACTGTACCTCTGAAACTAATAAACTATATGTTAATTAATTGATTTTAAATTTTAAAAAAGAAAAAAGAATTAAATAGATTATAACTATTGTTTAAATGGGTATCTTCATAAATAGAGTTCAAAATGGCAGATTAAGGGCGCCTGGGTGGCTCAGTTGGTTAAGCGACTGCCTTCGGTTCAGGTCATGATCCTGGAGTCCCGGGATCGAGTCCCGCATCGGGCTCCCTGCTCAGCGAGGAGCCTGCTTCTCCCTCTGACCCTCCCCCCTCTCATGTACTCTCTCTCTCCTCTCATCCTCTCTCTCAAATAAATAAATAAAATCTTTAAAAAAAAATGGCAGATTAAAATCATGCACTTGATTCAAGTGGGAGAATAAAAAACAAAAAGGAGAACATGGCAGGATCAAATTGGCATTTCTTTTTTTCAAATTGGCTTTATTGACTTGATTTTTAGAATCCTGCCTGCCTTCTTATCTTATTTAACATGATTCAGGTAAGTCTCACAATCAGGCTCTCTATCTGTGAAATGAGAAGTGTAATGTTGTGGATTAGATGAGATAATGTGAATAAAGCAGTTAGCATAGCAGTGGCACAAGTGAAGTGTATTTTAACCCTCCCTCTTCCAAGAATGTATTGTATCCTTTCAGTATGCCAAACCAGGATCTTTAAAAGTAGGTCTCCTAGTCACTAAACCACATTACTTCATCTGTAAGTACATTTCTTACAATTGACAAAATACCCAAAGCAGATCTCTGATGAAACTACAACAGAACTTTACCTCTGACTGTCTATATATTTTTAAATAGAAATTTTAATTTAGAAAATATTGTTCCAACCAACTATTGGGGTATAGAGTAAATTAAAAGTGTTCCAAGAGTGCCTGGGTGGCTCAGTCGTTAAGCGTCTGCCTTCGGCTCAGGTCATGATCCCAGGGTCCTGGGATCGAGCCCCGCATCGGGCTCCCTGCTCCGCGGGAAGCCTGCTTCTCCCTCTCCCTGTCCTGTCCCCCTTGCTTGTGCATGCTCTCTCTCTCTCAAATAAATAAATAAATAAAATCTTTAAAACAAAAACAAGGGCACCTGCACAGTGCAAACCTGTGCTGTTCAGTGGTCAACTGTGTATTCTTATCTCACTTTACTTTTAGTGTCATTTTAATACACTGAAAATAAAAACTAGAAGGGAACACACCAAAAAAACATTAGCAGTAGTTATCTTGAGGCAGTAGTCTCATTGGTTATGTTTAATTTTCTTCTTTAAATTTTCTACTTTCCAAATTTTCTGTAATTTCCAATCTTAGTTTTATAATCAGACTTTAACATATTTTTTTTTAAAGATTTTATTTATTTATTTGACAGAGAGAGACACAGCGAGAAAGGGAACACAAGCAGGGGGAGTGGGAGAGGGAGAAGCAGGCTCCCCGCAGAGCAGGGAGCCCGATGCGGGACTCGATCCCAGGACCCTGGGATCATGACCTGAGCTGAAGGCAGTCGCTTAACCAACTGAGCCACCCAGGCGCCCAGACTTTAACATATTTTTAAGTGTAGAAAAAAGAAATCTGACAAAAATTGAGACATTTTATTAAAAAGTCTACCTCAAAGAAAATGCATCAAATATTATCACATTTCTCTTTAACACCACGTACTAGAAGACAGTGAAAAATAACTACAAAATCAGAGGAAAAATGATTGTGATCCAAGAATCCTACACCCTGCTAGGCTGTTTTTTGTATGTACTACAACAGAAAGTATTCTCACACATTCTTCATTCTTTCAGGAACCCCCTAAATTAACTGTGTGTGTACATTTTGTAAATGGTATTACTCAGAGAAGTACCCTAGCTGACCTCCAAATGATTTAACCTAGAAAAAGCTATGATAAAATAAAAGGAAATAACCAATGACCAAATAATACAGAGTTACATAAGTGGAATTTAAGAAACCAAACAGAAGAACATAGGGGAAGGGGAAAAAAAGAGAGGAGAGAGAGAAGGAAACAAACCATAAAAGACCCTCAACTATAGAGAACAAACTGAGGGTTGATGGAGGGAGGTGGGAGGGGGTGGGCTAAATGGGTGATGGCGATTAAGGAGGTCACTTGTGATATGTGAGTGATGAATCACTACATTCTACACCTAAAACCAATTTTACCATATATGTTAACTAATTAGAATTTAAATTAAAAATTGAAATAAAAAAACAATACAGCGTTAAACCCCAATGAGTTATAATTAAAAAAAAAAATTCAGGGCGCCTGGGTGGCTCAGTTGGTTAAGCGACTGCCTTCGGCTCAGGTCATGATCCTGGAGTCCCGGGATCGAGTCCCGCGTCGGGCTCCCTGCTCGGCAGGGAGTCTGCTTCTCCCTCTGACCCTCCCGACCCTCCCCCCTCTCATGTGCTCTCTCTCTCTCTCAAATAAATAAATAAATAATCTTAAAAAAAAAAAATTCAAATGACATCTGGGTGGCTCAGTTGGATGACCATCCAACTCTTGATTTCAGCTCAGGTTTTGATCTCAGGGTGGTGAGTACAAGCCCTGCCCTGGGCTCCGTGCTGGGTGTGAAGCCTACTTAAAAAATATATTTTTTTTTCAACTAAATTTTCCCACTTATTTACTCAAGTTTCTTGAGAAAAAGAAACCAGGACTCTCTGCTCCCTGTTAGGCATTTTTAAGCAAAGTTCTCTCTTGGCAAATAGCACCTACTTACTTGAGAAATTTTCATCACAAAGCAGAGGTGGGAAGAAATCAGCCCTCAGGTGTTAGGGCTGCACTCTATAGCATGATCAACTGACTTTAGTGACTCAAGCCAAGTAATAAACAAAGAGTGAACCTGAATGTCTGTGCAGGATCCAACTTGATGGGGAATCAAGGGAATTCAAAAACAATCATCCAACATTACATGGTGTGGGCCTTTGTTTTTCAGAACACTGTAATTTTTCATAATGTTTGCCTTGAGCTTGTTGTTATTGGATATATCCCCTCCTGTGGATTCTTTTGAAAGTCTCTCATATGGCACCCTGAGGGTCATATTTGTTCCAGAAGTGCAATGAAAAGCATGCTAGACTTGGTCAAGATGCCTGGATTTTAGTCCAGCTCTACTAGTTAGGAAAGTGATCCTTCAGCTAGTAATCAAAACACTCTCTCTGAGCCTTAGTGTCCTTATTCCTCACTACCTCAATCAGACTTAAATAAATTAATGGATGCAAAAATGCTTTGAGGGGCGCCTGGGTGGCTCAGTCGTTAAGCGGCTGCCTTCGGCTCAGGTCATGATCCCAGAGTCCTGGGATCAAGCCCCACATTGGGCTCCCTGCTCAGCAGGAAGCCTGCTTCTCCCTCTCCCACTCCCCCTGCTTGTGTTCCCGCTCTCGCTGTCTCTGTCTCTTTCAAATAAATAAATAAAATCTTAAAAAAAATGCTTTGAACACTCTAAGGTGCTACATAAAGGTAAAACATGATTGTTACTCTTTTACTTTGAAATCATCATGATTAAATCGGTCTTGATTGCTCAGTGCCCTCTATTTGCCCTTAAGATTAGTATCAATATCAGTTCCACTATTATCATGTATTGAAAAAGTATCAGACATTTTCTGAGCTTTAAGGCAGATCTTACTTAAGAAGAGTTATCTTTTTTTTTTTTTTTAAAGATTTTATTTATTTATTCATGAGAGAGAGAGAGAGGCAGAGGGAGAAGCAGACTTCCCACAGAGCGGGGAGCCTGATGCGGGACTCGATCCCAGGACTCCGGGACCATGACCTGAGCCGAAGGCAGACGCTTAACCGTCTGAGCCACCCAGGCGCCCTAAGAAGAGTTATCTTAAGCACTTCCACTTCTAACCTTTTTTCCCATTTTTCCAGGAACCAGAATTCTTATGCTACCCTGAACCTTCAATTGGTAAAATAAATCAATAGACTAACTTATATTAAGATGATAGTATTGGGGCACCTGGGTAGCTCAGTCGGTTCAGCAGCCAGCTTTGCATTTCCGCTCAGGTCGTGATCCCAGCATCCTGGGATGGACCACTATGTCAGGCTCCACTCTCAGCGGGGAGTCTGCTTGGAGATTGGCTCTCTCCCTCCCTCTCTTCCCCTCCCTCCCCCCACCGCTTGCACACACTCTAAAATAAATAAATATTTTTTTAAAATGATAGCATTATCCTTAAGTGTTATCCCTAGTGGTGTATTTCTATTTCAAAAGAAGTATCTTATAATCAGGGGTGCCTGGGTGGCTCAGTCGGTTGGGCGTTTGCCTTCGGCTCAGGTCATGATCCCGGGGTCCTGGGATCGAGTCCCGCATCGGGCTCCCTGCTCCTTGGGGAGTCTGCTTCTCTCTCTGCCTCTGCTTCTCTCTCTCTCTCGTGAATAAATAAATGAAATCTTAAAAAAAAAAGTATCTTACAATTAAAGTGCCTGCTATTCTCTCCACCTAGAAAAACCTTTGCGTTTACCAGTAAAAATCTATCCATCCTTCACATTCAGTTATCCTGCAAGTTTCCTAGGGAAACCTTTCTAAATTCTCCTAAAAGAGTCGCCCCTCCCTCCTTTGCACGTACCTCTGTTATGCTTGTTACTTTAAGGGTCAGCACTTCCGTTCTGCTGGGAGCATTGTTGTACGAAACAGCTGCGCCCTCGTTCCTGGAGGTGAGGAGAGTAGAGGTGTGAGCCGGGAAGACCCCGAGGGGCGGGCGGAGATGTGACACCGGGAAAGGAGCTTGTGGTACAGTTGAGTGCAGAGGTGTGACGCAGGTAAAAGAGATACCTTTACTTTTTTTTTTTTTTTTAAGATTTTATTTATTTATTGAGCGAGCGAGCGAGAGTGTGTGCCTATGAGCAGAGGGGAGGGGCAGAGGGAGAAGCAGACTCCTGCTGAGC